ACGCGGCTGGACTCACCCATCATCTCCCTCTGCGCCAGTTGACACCCGCTTTCCGAGACGCCCACCCCGGCCCTTGGGGAGGGCCCGCCTCTGGTGGCCTTCCTCTTGCCGCCAAAGGACTGCTCTCGCTCCCTCGCTGTCCTTCCGACATGTGTGGTCTATCAAGCCCATTGGCACGATGTTATAGTATGCAATTCTCTGCCCCTGGCAGGTATCGGCTGTTGGCGGTTTTATTCAATCGGGAGTTTGAACGGCACCGGGAGTTTGAACGGTAAAACAGTCAACAGCTGATGCTGCTATAGTGCGATTTATGCAACCCTGCCCCTGGCAGGAATAGGTTGTTGACGGTTTTATCCAATCGGGAGTTTGAACGGCTTGACGTTTAAGCTCCCCATGAGGTGAAACCGTTATCAGCTGATGCTGCTACACAGCGGTTTATGCAACCCTGCACCTCTCAGGAATCAGCTGTGGACGGTTTTTATTCAATCGGGAGTTTGAACGGCTTGACGTTTAAGCTCCCGATTGGATGACACCGTCAATAGCTGATGCTACTATACTGCGATTTATGCAGTACTGCCCCTGGAAGGAATCGGCTGTTGACGGTTTTATCCAATAGGGATTTTGAATGGCATGACGTTTAAGCTCCCGGTTGGGTGAAACCGTCAACAGCTGATAGTGCTATACTGCGTTTTATGCAGCTATGCCCCTGGCAGGAAGCGGCTGTTGGCGGTTTTACCCAATCGGGAGTTTCAATGGCACCATAGTGCCGTCAATATGGTGACATTCAAGCTCCGAATTGGGTGAACCGTCAACAGTTAATTCTACTATACTGCAATTTAAGCAATTCTGCCCCTGGCAGGACACAGCTGTTGACTATGTCATCTAACGTGACGTGAATCTATTGTGGCGTCACTATGGCGACTTTCAAGATTCCGATTGGGTGACACCTGATTCCTGCGAGGTTCGGAATTGCATAAATCTCAGTATGGGCAGTAGCGATGCGACATCGATGTCAATGTTTTAAACATCGGTGTATTGAAACAATGTTTTTTGAACATATACATTTTGGGATCTATGTTTTTGGTTTTTTAATGTTTTGTTCGTGAATGAAAGATGCCCATAATCACAATTTGGTAAAAGTTAAAATACGAAACGATAACTGATGGTATTCAGCTTGTATTCGATCGAAATGAACGCGGTGTCCTCTATCTTCAACGAGCAGACTGCCATCCCTTGCTTTGCTTTGCAGATGATCCTGATGGCGTGGTATTTTATTTCGTCTTTCCTGTATTTCTCACATGGAGTGACGTTTGTTTTCAGTTAATTTTAATTATAAATTAATACGCACGCCCATTGTTGACATAAATTTTGTTGCGCTTGAATTCAATGTTAAAGGTTTGTGTTTGAAAACATCGATGGTTTTTGGTCGATGTATATTTAGATTGATGTTTTGATTTGAACATCAGTGTTTGGCAACATCAATGTTTTCTTCTCGATGACGCATCACTACTAGCCAAAGAGTTTCAAGCTCATCGACAACCGTGCTACTTTTAAATCTTACTGACTGGCAGATGTGGCTCAAGGTGTCAATTGATGTCACTGCAGTGACTTTGACCGGTAAGCTTTAGGCTTCCAACCCCTACTGTCGTAGGATTTTGAACACGATACTTCGGTTGTTATTTCTTTCAACGTGAGGGCCTGTTTTTCATTTCGCGTCTTTCTCGGTCGGACCGATAGATGTCGCATTATCGTTAGCACTGCTCGATACGTTCGCGATCATTCGACATCTAGCTGCACGACCGAGAAAAACGCGAAATACCGTCAGATATTGCATCGTGGCATTACATGCAGGCTCTCACGCGCCAAGAATAAAAACCAAAGTATAGGTAGGTCGAAGTCAGCCGCTGTCTGGAGAATTCTAGCGGCCGGCTGCTCTCTTCCGTAGTTTTCCGTGTATTTTCTTTCATCAACAGCAGGCAAATGCCGCAACAGAACCGCACCAAATGGGGCACGGACCGCGCGTGATCGTTCCTTCCTCTTCCTTGTCTTATCCCTACCCTTTACACACACACACACACACACACACACACACACACACTAACACGCACTACAGCACCACAATATGCCGGGAGACCCGTCAGGAACTTGGCCGCGCTCGCGTTCGTTTGTCCTTCCGCGTCCCGCGCCGCGTTCTTGTCCTTGGCGTCCGCCGCTCCGCGTTTTGTCCTTCCGCGTCCCGCCGCTCGCGTTCTTGTCCTTCCGCGTCGCCGCTCCGCGTTCTTGTGCGCGTCCCCGGCCGCTCCGCGTTCTTGGTTCCTTCCGGTCCCGCCGCTCGCGGTTCTGTGTCCTTGGCGCTCGGCGTTCCCGCGCTGGCGCGGTCTGCGCGCCGGCGCTTCGCATTGCTGCTCGCCCCCCGTCCGGCCGCTTCGCTTCCTGCGCCTGGCGCACCGCGCGGCGGCGCGCTGCCTCCTTGGGTCTGCGGCGCGCCGCGGGCTGCCGGCGCCGCGGTCGCGGGGCGGTCGTGTGCGCGCCCGCGTGGCGCCGGTGGCGCCGTCCTGGCCTGCGCTCGGGCGTGCGCGCGCCCCCCCGCTCGTTGGGCGCCGGTGGCGGCCCGCGCGTGTCCGCGGCGGCGGCGGCGGCGGGGCCGCGTCTCGTCGCCCGGCGCCGCTGGGCGCAGCCGCGGGCTCCGTTCGTCGCGTAGTCGCTCCCCTCCGGCCGGCCGCGCGCCGCTCGCGCGCGCCGCCCGCCGCGCTCCGGGGCCCTGCCCGCCCCCGCGCCCCGCGCCTTCCCCTGCGCCCCGCCCTGTCCTTCCCTCTGCGCCCCTCCCTCTGCCCTTCCCCTGCGCCCTCTCCTCATCTCCCTGCCCGCTTCTACCTGGCTCCCCCTCCCCGCCTGCTCGCCTGGGCTTCCCCCTGCCGCTCCCCCCTCCCACTGCCCCTTCCCCTGGCCCCGCCTGGTGCCCTCCCCCTGCGCCCCGCCCCTGTGCCTCCCCCTGGCGCCCTCCTCCTCTCCTGCCCTTACCCCCTCCCCCCTCCCCCTCCTCCTGGCGCTTCCCCTTGCCCCGCTCCCCCCTCCACTGCCCCTTCCCCGCCCGCTCCACCTCCCCCTGCCCTTCCTCCTCGCCCCCCCCCTCTCCTGCCCCGTCCCCCTGCCCCTCCCCCTGCCTCCCCCTGCGCCCTCGCCGCCGTCTCCTGCCCTCCTGCCTGTCCCGCGGTCCGGCGGCTGCCCGCCTTGTCCCGCCGGCGGGCCCTTGCGGCCCCCCTTGCCTTGCTCTGCCCCCGCGGTTCTCGTGTTCCCTCCTGGTGCCGGCTTTCGCCCTCGCTCCCCTCCCGCCTCCCGCCGTGTTGGCGGCGCTTCTCGTGGGCCGGCCTGCTGCTGCTGTGCTGCGTTTTTCGGGCGGTTTCTCCTCTCCCCCCCGCCCGCCCGGCCGGCGCCGCCCCTCGCCCCCGCTCTTACTTCGTTTCCGGCGTCTTCTGCCTCCCCCTCTCCCCCCCCCCCCTTCCCCGCCCTGCCCTTCCGCGATTGTCCCCAGCTGGCCGGCCGTGCCCTCCGTTCCCCCCTATTCCCCTCTCTCTCCGCGTGGCCTTCTCCCTTGCCGGCCGCCTTTCTGCTGTGTGCCCCCCCTTCCCTGCGTCCGTTCGCTCCTCCTCTTTTGTTTTCCCGGCGCGCCTGTGGCTCGGCGCTTGTGTGCCCCCTCTCGTGTGCTTCTCCTCTGCGCGCGCGCGCGCGTGTGTGTGTGTGTGTGTCGTGGGTGTGTGTGTGTGTGTGTTGTCGTGCGGGCGGTCTTGGGTGCGGCTGGGGTCGTCCCGGTCGCGTGGTGTGGCGGTCGTGTGGTCCCTCGTGCTTTGTCTGTTTCGTGTGGTGTCTGGTCCGCGTGGTAGTCTGGTGGCGTTGCTGTTCGTCTGTTTTTGTTGCCGCCTTGGTGGCGGGCGGGTCGTCCTGGTCCCCCTCGCCTGTCCCTTGTCCTGTCGGCCTCCCATTGGGTTCCCCTCCTTGTCCCTTTTGGCTCCCTCATCCTTTTTGTTCTTCCGTCATTCTGTGTCCTCCCGTGCCTCCCTTCCGCCTGGGCCCGTACCCCTCCCTCACCGCCCCCCTGCCCCCCCCCGCTCTCTCTCCCCACCCCCGCCCGGCGGCGGCGTGCACCGCGAGCGATCTGTGGTGTCTTGTTTTTTTCTTTTCTTTCTTTTTCCTTGCCCGTCGTCCGGTCTTGCCGTGCGCCCCGCCTCCGTCAGCCCAACAGGATTTCTTGGAGCAATTTTA